GAACCAGACAGGCGGCATGTCCGCCCACTAGTCCTCAGATGCTCCATGCGGCCCCGTATGCGCCTCAATAGCCATATGACCCTGTTTGGGGGGCAGGCGACACATAATGTCCAACCCTTAGACTGGCAGCTCCGACTGCTAAGAATGGGGGAACAACCCTCTGCGTTTTCCAAGGAAATAATTGAGGCTGCTCAACCAGCCAAGGTGAAAAATGTGTTGGTAGGTGGTACCTATGACGGTACCACCAATCCAGAAGATTACCTTATGGCATACACCAACCTTATGTATCTTCAAGGGTTGGATGATGACGCATGGTGTAGATGCTTCTCGGCCACATTAAAGGGCGTCGCCCAATAATGGTTCGACAACCTGCCAGCCGGATGCATAAATAACTTTAAGACGCTTGCATACTTGTTTGCATCCAACTTCTCAATGAATATCCCTGCAAAGAAAACAAGTCTTGACTTGGGAGCTATACAACAGGGAGAGAAAGAAAGGCTACGGTCATACGTCAGGCGGTTCAATCTGATGAGAATTCAGATTCAAGGACTGTCTGACGAGGTGGCCTATATAGATTTTTTTAAAGGTCTGAAGGACGGGCCGGTCTTTAAATTTGACCTTGTCAGAAAGAGGGTTGCTGCCCTCCAAGAAGCACTGATGGAGGCGGACGCCTATATACAAGCGACCGAGCTTTGCCATGTCAGTAAATAGTCGGACTCAAAGAAGTCCAACAAAAGAGAGAGTCGGTCATCACAGCCGGCTAAGAAAGAAGAAAAGAAAAGAAAAGAAGTTTAGGTGGCTGATACCTCTAAACAGCCGTCCAAGAAGAAACAGAAAGAATCTGAACCATACACCTCAAAGTATGAGTTCAACAAGGATTGTCACTCCATCCTCATGGAGATCAAAGACTGGGTGACCATTGAGAAGCCGGCTGCTATGTAAGGTTCCGCTAAAAATCGGAATAAAAATAAGTAATGTCATTTTTAAATCTTCTTCATCTCTTTTTCCTACACTCATCCACGGATCCACCCACTCACATTTTTAAATCTTCTTCATCTCTTTTTCCTACACTCACCATATCACATCAACTCACATTCCATTTGCCTTTATGTGTTCAAACAGTGTATGTTAATAGCTTTAAGAAAAACAGGTAATACCACACAATGTCAAGCGTGGGACTGTGTGGGCAATTGAATGATGTTGTATAAGTGGACTGATTATCATGAATTGCATTTCAGCCAAATTAGCTCAATGTTTATTTGTGTCCATTTCATTTTTTATACGGGTTTCCTTGAAATTTTGTGGGAAATCAAGACAAAGAAGAAACATATTAGGCAATAAAACATGCACTGAAAAATGAAATTAAATTTCCCATCTTAAATTTGAAGAGAAGCTTTAAATTTTGAAGAGAAACTTTCTGATCCACATATATGATGGCTTTGTTTATTTTGGTACTGACCAAAAATTCCTCTTTGTACTTGGCTATTTGACATCATTCTTCTTTTTTAACGATAGGTCCAAATTGATGTTGAGAATTTTGTGAGCTCATTCCGGCCTGATATAATGGAGGCAGTCTATGCCTGGGCTAAAGGATCCAAATTCTATGAGATCATGGAAATTACACAGGTTTTTGAGGGAAGTTTGATCAGGGCTATTAGGAGATTGGAAGAAGTCCTTCAGCAACTCATTCTCGCAGCTAAATCTATTGGGGAAATAGAGCTTGAATCTAAGTTTGAAGACGCTGTCTCCATGATTAAAAGGGATATTGTCTTTGCTGCATCATTATACTTATAATCTCTGAACCATATTTGTCTTCGTTTGCTTGGTGAGATTTTTTGTAAAATTCATGCTCAATTTATGGATCTGTCCACAAACTTGAAGATTACTACATAGATTGAGCCCAATGCAGTTGACATGACATTTCCAACATTTTATATTAGGCGCATGAAAAAGAAGCCACTACGCCTTGGCTACAGCCCAGAAGTCAAGTCGAGAGCTTGAATTTCAGATGGAAAAAGCTACTCCAACATGTACGACAGCTCCAAGTAATGCAATAATTATAATGCAACACCTACAGACTAGAGTCGATTAAGAGGTGCTTCTGTTAACTTATTTGATGATCCATAGCCTACCAGAATCTAGTTAATCAATTTTGTTAGATTTTTAATTTTTAATTTGTACCAATACTAAACTTGATAATGTATATTCTATCCTCAAGGTGAATGGAATCTGTTATTGTACCGTTTTTGCAAATTTTCTTCCTTTTGTTGTGCATCATAACGCTCATCTTCCAGTCACTATCGTAACAACATCAAGACTCAGGATTTATCCTTTTGAGCTTTTCTTTTTGTTTCAGCAATCTTATGTGAAACCAGTGGTGGTTTTTTTTATTGTTGTTGAAAACTACATTTCTATAAGTTTTTAACACTTAATTTCTTTCATTCAAAATGTTCTCATCACTTTCCCTTTATTCTAATTTATAACAACATTTGAAATTTCCTCTTTTTTTTTTTTATTTTTTTATTTTTTATTTTTTTTTTAAGTATAAGATCAAAAACATTAAAATCCAAAATCTTCAAATTAGTATATAAACCATGGGGATTAGTTTATGGAAGTAAATAAAGTATATAAACCAAGGGATTAGTCTTAAAGGAACAAATTGAGGAGAAAAGACTTTAAAATGGTCAAAATATTCGTTATATGGGTCTTACACTCGGAAACTTGACCAGAATCAAAGTAAGAGATAGTAGTAAAATTAATTTTATGTCTATTATGGGTGGTTTTTAAATTAAAGTTTTAAAGGATTGTAAAATCAATGTGGTGTTTTTAAGAGTCTTAAAGTATAAGATATTGCATAGGTAGAATCTTATTAGGTTGGTTTCGATACGTAGATTCCAAAATATTTATACGAGTTTATTATAATACGTATATATATATATATATATATATATATATATATATATATATATATATATATATATATATATATATATATATATATATATATATATATATATTTTTTTTTTTTACAACATTGTAATACTCTATATGAACTTAAAAAAAAAAAAAAAAAAACCCTTAAATTGGTTATGCATTATAAATTTATAATTATGAAACATGCATTACTACTATTCCTTAACATCAGCTGAAGCCATCAATAGTGGAGCAGCGCTTTGACGTCGAGAGATGTTTAAGCAGGGAATGAAGCAGCGAAAGAGTAAAGCACTCACATCGACTATACATCCAAACAATCCTACTACAACATCGTTTTCGCTGCTCGGCTGTAACTCTGAGCTACCGGAATCGAGTATTTCATTCTTATCTCGATCTTGTAAGTTACCACCACTAGTATTAGTATCAGTAGTAATCACCATTTTCTCTTGGGATATACGAATACAATGATCATGGTTCTTGCTGGAGTTTGAAAATGGGTCGATCGAGTTGAAATAATCATCAGAATTATAACTCTCTTGTAGCTGTGGTTCAAGCCATGAAGGTAAGGGTGGCGCCGAGGGCTCAGCAGGATGGCAGAAATGGCATTCACAGCCATCTGGAGATGGTGGCAGCATCGGTGGTGATTGAGGAGGAGGAGGAGAATGATAAATGTATGGGTAGAAGTCATATTGTGGAGGTAGTTTGTGGTAAGACTCGTAATAAGTATCAATCTTTGTCTTCTTGCTTGACCAGAATTTGAGCTTCTTCATTGCTTTCTTCAACTTCATTTTGTTTTTTAAAAGGTTCTGATTGTTGTGTGTTATGTTTTATTTTAATTGAAAAAACGATATGAGAATGAAGATTTAGAGGCTTTTGTTTGAAATATGAAAGTGATGAAATGAAGCTAACTTTTCAAGCTTACTTACCGTTGAGCTTTTGAAACTTTTGGTGACCTATGACCCCAGGCACCCACCCAAAAGAGTTATAGTTCAACCTTTGTGAGTGTGAATGTGAGTATACAAGTCTGGTTTAGTAATTAGTAGTATAATCATTACTGGTATTACTCTATTTTTTTAAATGAATCACTCGTTTTATTTGGTGGTTTATTAAATGGATGAATGCATCACTCTAAACAATAATTTTCCTTACAAAAAAAACTCTAAACTATATTTTAGTTATCTCTTTTTCCTAAAATCATACTCAATATACCTTACACAAGTATATTCTTAAATCTACTTCCATAATTCTCTAATTTAATTAAAATTCAGATTTCAATTACTGTTTATGATCATGTTTTGATCATGTTTATACGAATTTTATTTACATAAATTATATGTTATAAATTTCATATTGATGTGGGAGCATCCAAAATTTCCTTTTTTTGACTCGGTCTTGATAGTTTTTTATGTTTCTTTAGATAGATTTTTGCTTATAAGTTTTTACCATTTACTTAAAAGGGTTTTTCTTGTTTTAAGCACCTCAGGACTCTTTGATTAGTCGTGTGTTATTTTGATTAGTATTTTAAAAATCAGATTTTAGTTAGGTAGTTAGTTTAATGTGGGTTACTTGGAATTCAAGTTAGAGTAGACTTGGTTTTCCTAAACCTAATAGGATTAGGATTATATCTATTTTATCTTTTCCTTGTAAAGCTTATAAATAAGCAACAAAATTATCAATAAAGGAAGAGAGATTTGTTTTGGGAATTATGTTGAAAACCACAAACTTTATTTTAGAAAAAACTATTTTTGTATTGCTTATATTAAAATAAGATATGAGAGGATAATGATGATTGTTAATTCTCATCCTCTACATAATTAGCAAATGAGATGATACAAATTCAATGTTTTATTTTCAATAAAATGTAATAGAGACAGATTGAAAATTAAAAAGGAGAAGAATATAAGGAGAAGTTTTATTATATTAAGGAAGAGTATATTTTGTTATCCCGGGTTGTAACCCACATTTATTCCTCCATATCATCCTTATTATTATTTGAGTTAGCAATTTGTAAAATGATATAACTCCTACATTTGGTATCAGAGCCACGTTATTTGTAATATCTCAAAATGTCTACAAACTTTGTTCAGCCACAATTACCCCAATTGTCAAAAGAGCAATATGAAGATTGGTGCATCAAAATGAAAGCATTATTTGGTTCCCAAGATTTGTGGGAAATTGTTAATGATGGGTTTGAAAATCCATCGGATGAAACAAAAGCGGCATTAAATAAAGAGAAGAAAGATGAGTTGAAAGAAAATCAGAAGAAAGATCAAAGGGTATTATTTTTGATCTATGCAGGATTATACCGCGAAACATGTGTGAAAATCTCAAATGCAACCACAAGCAAGGAAGCTTGGGATAATCTTGCAACTATATTTAAAGGAGTCGAGAGAGCTCAAAAAATTCGCTTACAAGTACTACGAGGTGAATTTGAGGAAATCAAAATGACTAGTAATGAGTCAATCTCTGAATATTTTTCTTGCCTACTTACAAATGTTAACCAACAAAAATTAAATGAAGAAAAGATTGAAGATAAAAAGATTGTTGAGAAAGTACTTCGATCATGCAATAAAAAATTTAACCATGTATTACCTGCGATAGAAGAATCAAAAGATATCGATTCATTATGAATAGAAGAACTTATGGGATCCCTTCAAGTACATGAACAAAGAATTCAGAAGAATGATGAACCAAGCACTTGAATCAAAGTTGTCATTAAATGAACAAAGAGGTGAAAATCAACGAGGTGGATTTCGTGGACGAGGAAGAGGTCGTGGTAACTACCAACCTCGCAACCAAAGTAATGAGAGAAGTTTTGGCCAAGGGAGAGGGTCAAACAGAGGAGTAAAGAGTTTCAACGAATGCAGTAAATTAAATGACATTCAATGCTATAATTGTCAAAAATATGGACATTATGCATCTGAGTGTTGGAGCAAACAAAAGGATCAAGGCAATCGATTAAATTTCGCCGAATCATCAAGAAACAATGAGGAAAGTCCTACATTGTTACTAGCGCATGAAGAAGCTAGTAATTAGCAAGACATGTGGTTTTTCGATTCTGGAGCTAGCAACCACATGTGTGGGAGAAAAGAATTTTTTATTGACCTTGATGAGAAGATTCAAGGTAATGTAAGTTTGGGAGATTCATCCAAACTACAAGTTGAAGGTAAAGGAAAAATACAATTTTTTCTTAAGAATGGAAATGAAGAATTCATTTCTAATGTTTATTACGTACCTAATATGAAAAGTAACATTCTCAGTATTGAACAACTTTTGAAAAAAGGATTTATTGTTCATATGGAGGGTGATAATCTTCAACTAAAAGATAATAGTGGAAGAATTATTGCTCAATTGAAAATGGCGAAGAATCGCATGTTTCCACTGCAACTTAACACCAAGGTTCAAAAGTGTTTCTACGGTGTTATGGAGAATGAGTCATGGAAATGGCATAAACGTTTTGGACATTTGCATTTTAATGGCCTAATACTTTTGCAATCAAAGAATATGGTGCATGGATTACCTACCATTGAAGACCTGAAACAAGTTTGTGAAATATGCACAATTGGAAAACAAGCTAGACTTCCATTCCAAAAGGGATTATCATGGAGAGCTAAAGCACCATTAGAATTGGTACACACAGATATATGTGGACCATTGGAGCCAATATCCTTGAGAGGTGATTAGGGGATTTTTCCCGCCACGAGACCAATTAAATTCTGCCACGTGTCATCCACATGGACCAACAAGAGTCTGCCACGTGTCACCTTGTGAGAGGTCCAGGGTGGACCAATCAGGCCACGACACGTGGCAGACAGATTGCCAACTAGGAAAGTGGCCTTCCACGACCCAAATACCTAGGCAAGCCCAGTCAGTCCTAGGTTTCTAAAAACCTAGTACTGGACACACATTTCAAGTCCCTATAAAAGGGAGATGGTCCCCTTGAGGAACATCATTCAGAAATTATTAAACACACGTGTACATTAATTGCTGAGCATTAACTCCAGCTTTAATTGCACTTCTTGAGAGCTAAGGCTCGGATTTCGAGGCTATCTCAGATAGCCGGATGATCACTTCTCTCCTAAGAGGAGCTTGATCCCCTTTACATTCCGCACTTTTTTTATTCGAACGCGTTCTAACTTGATTGTCGGAGGCGGAACTCCCACCCACATGAGTCTCCGTTGTTTTGCAGGTACAGGCGTCTAGAGGCCAGTCTTGGTGTTGTAACTCTCCCACAGGACATCCAAAAAACCCAAAACATTTGGCGCCTTCTGTGGGGAGAGTACTTCTAAGATGGCTTCACAAGAACCTGTACCGCCTCTTAATGAGAATCGGCCTATGGCCAACGTCCAGGTCTATACAGACCAGGATACAGATGACGACTATGAGGTCGACACACACACGGCCCCTGACGGATCCCTAAGGGCTAAGCGCATTCGTCCCATCGAAAGGAGGGAACGGAATGACGAACAGGCGGGCCCTAGTGAACCAGTCGGCCAGTCGACTGGTCAACCCTAGGTGGCCGAAGGTTTCATCCCTATCACCAAAAACGAGCTCATGACTCTCATGATAAGTTTCAAAGGGGAGATTAAGGACCTGATTGATAAACGAATGTCTGTTTCCACCAGGGAACAGTCGGCCAAGAAACCTTCTAATTCTGGGAGGAATAAGCCGGTCAAAGACCGAAAGGCCACTCCTTACCCTAAACTTAGGGAGGGGCAGAGGACCTTGTTAAATTTGGCTAAACTCCGGTTCCCTGAGCAAGGGAAGAGGAAGGCCATCCGGCATTTACAGCCGAATGGTTCAAAGAAAACTTATTCTGATGCCCGGATGTTAATCCAACAGAAGAAGAACATGCAACTGTCAGACTCGGCTTCGACGTCGAACTTGCAAGATAACTTTCAGAATACCTCAATGAGGTATTCAAAATCAAATCGAGAGAACCAGACAGGCGGCATGTCCGCCCACTAGTCCTCAGATGCTCCATGCGGCCCCGTATGCGCCTCAATAGCCATATGACCCTGTTTGGGGGCAGGCGACACATAATGTCCAACCCTTAGACTGGCAGCTCCGACTGCTAAGAATGGGGGAACAACCCTCTGCGTTTTCCAAGGAAATAATTGAGGCTGCTCAACCAGCCAAGGTGAAAAATGTGTTGGTAGGTGGTACCTATGACGGTACCACCAATCCAGAAGATTACCTTATGGCATACACCAACCTTATGTATCTTCAAGGGTTGGATGATGACGCATGGTGTAGATGCTTCTCGGCCACATTAAAGGGCGTCGCCCAATAATGGTTCGACAACCTGCCAGCCGGATGCATAAATAACTTTAAGACGCTTGCATACTTGTTTGCATCCAACTTCTCAATGAATATCCCTGCAAAGAAAACAAGTCTTGACTTGGGAGCTATACAACAGGGAGAGAAAGAAAGGCTACGGTCATACGTCAGGCGGTTCAATCTGATGAGAATTCAGATTCAAGGACTGTCTGACGAGGTGGCCTATATAGATTTTTTTAAAGGTCTGAAGGACGGGCCGGTCTTTAAATTTGACCTTGTCAGAAAGAGGGTTGCTGCCCTCCAAGAAGCACTGATGGAGGCGGACGCCTATATACAAGCGACCGAGCTTTGCCATGTCAGTAAATAGTCGGACTCAAAGAAGTCCAACAAAAGAGAGAGTCGGTCATCACAGCCGGCTAAGAAAGAAGAAAAGAAAAGAAAAGAAGTTTAGGTGGCTGATACCTCTAAACAGCCGTCCAAGAAGAAACAGAAAGAATCTGAACCATACACCTCAAAGTATGAGTTCAACAAGGATTGTCACTCCATCCTCATGGAGATCAAAGACTGGGTGACCATTGAGAAGCCGGCTGCTATGTAAGGTTCCGCTAAAAATCGGAATAAAAATAAGTAATGTCATTTTTAAATCTTCTTCATCTCTTTTTCCTACACTCATCCACGGATCCACCCACTCACATTTTTAAATCTTCTTCATCTCTTTTTCCTACACTCACCATATCACATCAACTCACATTCCATTTGCCTTTATGTGTTCAAACAGTGTATGTTAATAGCTTTAAGAAAAACAGGTAATACCACACAATGTCAAGCGTGGGACTGTGTGGGCAATTGAATGATGTTGTATAAGTGGACTGATTATCATGAATTGCATTTCAGCCAAATTAGCTCAATGTTTATTTGTGTCCATTTCATTTTTTATACGGGTTTCCTTGAAATTTTGTGGGAAATCAAGACAAAGAAGAAACATATTAGGCAATAAAACATGCACTGAAAAATGAAATTAAATTTCCCATCTTAAATTTGAAGAGAAGCTTTAAATTTTGAAGAGAAACTTTCTGATCCACATATATGATGGCTTTGTTTATTTTGGTACTGACCAAAAATTCCTCTTTGTACTTGGCTATTTGACATCATTCTTCTTTTTTAACGATAGGTCCAAATTGATGTTGAGAATTTTGTGAGCTCATTCCGGCCTGATATAATGGAGGCAGTCTATGCCTGGGCTAAAGGATCCAAATTCTATGAGATCATGGAAATTACACAGGTTTTTGAGGGAAGTTTGATCAGGGCTATTAGGAGATTGGAAGAAGTCCTTCAGCAACTCATTCTCGCAGCTAAATCTATTGGGGAAATAGAGCTTGAATCTAAGTTTGAAGACGCTGTCTCCATGATTAAAAGGGATATTGTCTTTGCTGCATCATTATACTTATAATCTCTGAACCATATTTGTCTTCGTTTGCTTGGTGAGATTTTTTGTAAAATTCATGCTCAATTTATGGATCTGTCCACAAACTTGAAGATTACTACATAGATTGAGCCCAATGCAGTTGACATGACATTTCCAACATTTTATATTAGGCGCATGAAAAAGAAGCCACTACGCCTTGGCTACAGCCCAGAAGTCAAGTCGAGAGCTTGAATTTCAGATGGAAAAAGCTACTCCAACATGTACGACAGCTCCAAGTAATGCAATAATTATAATGCAACACCTACAGACTAGAGTCGATTAAGAGGTGCTTCTGTTAACTTATTTGATGATCCATAGCCTACCAGAATCTAGTTAATCAATTTTGTTAGATTTTTAATTTTTAATTTGTACCAATACTAAACTTGATAATGTATATTCTATCCTCAAGGTGAATGGAATCTGTTATTGTACCGTTTTTGCAAATTTTCTTCCTTTTGTTGTGCATCATAACGCTCATCTTCCAGTCACTATCGTAACAACATCAAGACTCAGGATTTATCCTTTTGAGCTTTTCTTTTTGTTTCAGCAATCTTATGTGAAACCAGTGGTGGTTTTTTTTATTGTTGTTGAAAACTACATTTCTATAAGTTTTTAACACTTAATTTCTTTCATTCAAAATGTTCTCATCACTTTCCCTTTATTCTAATTTATAACAACATTTGAAATTTCCTCTTTTTTTTTTATTTTTTTATTTTTTATTTTTTTTTTAAGTATAAGATCAAAAACATTAAAATCCAAAATCTTCAAATTAGTATATAAACCATGGGGATTAGTTTATGGAAGTAAATAAAGTATATAAACCAAGGGATTAGTCTTAAAGGAACAAATTGAGGAGAAAAGACTTTAAAATGGTCAAAATATTCGTTATATGGGTCTTACACTCGGAAACTTGACCAGAATCAAAGTAAGAGATAGTAGTAAAATTAATTTTATGTCTATTATGGGTGGTTTTTAAATTAAAGTTTTAAAGGATTGTAAAATCAATGTGGTGTTACTTCTGCGTCTTAGAAGACTTGCACTCGGGCTTCTGCGTCTCCCACAAGGCGGCAGGACCTTAGCAAAGAGAGCCAGGCGGCAAGGTTACTTCTGGCCTACCTTGGAAGTAGACTCCATGGAGATGGTGAAAAAATGCGACAAGTGCCAAAGGTTTGGCAAGCTCATACACCGTATGACCACTTATCTGACGGCCATCCATAGCCCAGTACCATTCGCCAAATGGGGCATGGACATTCTGGGTCCGTATACGCCTGCTACAGGCGGACGGAGGTATATTTTGGTTGCTGTTGACTACTTCACCAAATGGGTAGAGGCGGAGGCAGTCAAAGGAATTAGAACAAAAGATGTTATCTCCTTCATCTGGAGAAATGTCATCACTCGGTATGGGGTACCCATGTCTATGGTCTTTGACAATGGTCCTCAATTTGAGACGCCTGCTCTCAAGAACTGGTTGGGAGACCAAGGGATCTCTCACTGTTTTGCATCAGTCGGCCGTCCCCAATCAAACGACCAGGTTCAAGCCTTCAACAAGTTAATCTCTGATGGCATAAAAAATAAAATTGAAAGAGCTGGCGGCCTATGGGGTGACGAGCTACCGCATGTTCTGTGGGCCATCATGATGACAAAAAAGGGGCCGACTGGCGAAACTCCATTTCTCATGGTTTATGGGGCAGAAGCTGTTTTGCCTATTGAGCACTATGAGCCGACTCTTCGAGTTATGTTATATGATGAGGAGGCTAATTGGGAGGCCATGCGACTAGCACTGGATACTCTTCTAGAAAGCAGGGGCAATGCCGCCCTGCGCCATGAGATCTACCATCTGAGAATGACGAGAGCCTACAATAAAAGAGTGCACAAGCGGCCCCTGAAGGTAGGGGACTTTGTGTTGCAAAAAATGGAAGCAACTGGTAGGGCCAATGAGCAGGGAAAGCTGACTCCCAATTGGGAAGGCCCCTACCGAATCTATGAAGAAGAAGAGGTGGCACCTACCGACTGGAAACACCAGACGACAGGCAGCTAGCCAGAACTTGGAACGTAGACAACTTGAAAAAGTAATAAATCTGAGACTTGTAAATTTTTTGTAAATAAAAGCACATTAATAAAACGTTGCTATTTGTTTCAATACTTTGTATTCGTATGCATTCCCCCAAGGGAGGGACGCCTGCCTAATAAGTAGACGACTTTCTTATTATTTTCCTACTACTCCAACATGAGTAGAAAATAAGCTAAGTCTAGCAAACTTAGCAGCTATGTGTTGTTCCACTCGGAACAAATGAGGCCTATGGCCGGATGATCTAAGTCACGCCCATGGCCTGATGATCAAAATAAGGCCTATGGCCAGATATTTTTAAAACAATACGCATGTCCCTAACATGATTAGGCGTCCGGCGACATCCATTTGGGTGAATTCGTCGCAGAGAGCATCTCCCATTTGGGTGGCACATTGCTCTGTGAACTGATCAAATGAGACAAAGATAACAAAGACTACCGACTGCTCTAAAAACATGCGGTAGTCTATAATATTTAAGTTGGATGCCGACTGTTGTTGCTCAGGGGCAACACAATCAGATAATTTGTGGATATAAGCTGAAGTTCCCACACTTAGCAGCTAATTAAGTATAAATCTAAGTCTAAAAGCTCAATACTTGTGAGGAAACAACATGCGGCTAACAACCGACTACTTCTTCTATTTTACTCAAACTAAGGTAACAAAGATTGATTAATCCCAGGGGTTAACTCATAGTCGCTCGACCTAGCTAACCTAAAATGGAACCTAACCGGTACGAACAAAACTGCCTGCCCTTTTTTGATAAACATACAACATTCGACCACTATTCCTATTTAGGTTAGCAAAACAGTTAAAGCTACCGCCTGTAACCCAACAAGCGGTTGCTACTTTGGTTAAACATCCCTTTGGCACCTGATTCTGTAAAGGTATCAAACAAACGGACAAATTACAATCAATAAAATAAACTAAGTACAAAACTTAGTGGATAAATGTGGTTCGTCTAACGAACTATATTGAGGCCGAGAGCCGGATCATGCTGAGTGTATGACCGTCTGTCCAATGGCCGTCTGTCTGCCTGGTTAGGGCAATCACAATGGTGATTGATTGACTTAGAAATCAACCATACTCTTTAAAGTATCAAAGTTTTCTAAGTCAATCCATCAGCCTTTGAAAACCAGGCGCACAGCCGCCTAGGGGAAAAAACAATCGGCATACTAAAAGCAGTCGGCATATGGAAAGTATTCAAAACATTCATACAAAAAGTCAAAGCAAAGTGCAAATTGGAAAATCCGACAAAACTGCCGGATGATTCATATAAATAGTCGGCCAGAAGACCGACGAAAAGAGTTGAAATTATCAATAAACCCTGACCCCTTGGTTGGGTAAAGATACAAAACAAGCGGCACGCGCCGAAAAAAAGTTGATATAAAGGGAAAGCTTAAGCAGTAGGAGGGGATTGATCAGCATCAGCAGCCGCATCCTTTTGGTCCCCAGTCGGCCGTTTTCTTTTTCATTATCCTTCCTCTCCTTCTCCTCTTCCTGGTTCGACTCCCCTGAAGTAGAATCAGACGACTCCATTTCCTCTTCTTCCTCTCCCTCTCGGGCTTGGTTCAGGATTCGTTCATTGTATTCCTTAGAGGGCGGAAAACTGATTCTCCTAGTTCTCATAGCCGGTCTCTGGGAAGAAAGCCCCCCATGTCATCTTCATGATGGCGCTGCCGTCGTCCATCATGTCCTTGACTAGGGCCTCCTTTTCTTCATTAGCCCTTGAAAGGTATTTCTTGGCAAGTTGGGTTTCCTGGTTCTACAGGAGAAGTTTTAGCTTGCCCACCCTAGTGCGGAGGCCGGCTGCTTCTTTGTCCGCCTCCTTAAGAGGCTCGAGCTCAGACTTGAGGTCTTTAACGGATGACTCCAGCTTCGAGATCCTCTTCTTGGCCGCCTCTAAATCTGTTTTAACCTGCAAGTTGGCAGCGCCTGATAATATAGTATGTCAGTAGTTAGAAGTTCATTTTGAGCAATCTGGAAGGCGGCCCGAGCCTTCGCAACCTTTACCTCCTTTGTCTTCTCATTTATGGGCCTGCGAAGACCGTGTACTCGTAGCATAGACTGCACTCGGCCAAAAACAGATGTCAGTTACAGGCGGCTCGCAAATCATATAAACAAGAAACAAATTTTTTTTTACAAGTGTACCTCAGTAAGAAGAGCGAGGATGACATCCAGATTGAGGGTGTCGACTCCTTTTACCGCCTCCCTGTCCTCAAGGGAGACAACTTTCAGCATGGACTTGGCCAGGTGGACAAGATCCGGCCTTTGAGAGACATCTGCACAATCAATACCTCGTAAGTACTTGGTGTAAATTCGGCCAATAGACCGACTGCGTTTTGAGGTACTAGACGACTGTTGATTGAATTTGACCCTCAAAGGGTAAGGGAAAGGAAACAAGTCTTTGATACCTTTAACAGCCGCCTGCTTCTCCTTCTCCTTCTCAGGCCGACTGCCAACAGGGACGACTGAAGATTTTTGAGGTGAGTTATTCCCTGGCCTTGAGGCCGCATGTTTCCTAGCTCTCCCAGGGTCGTTATGTCACCAGTCGTCTGTTTTCTAATTTTAGGATCCGGTCGAGAGGAGGAGGAAGGCTTTGCTAAGTTGCCCTGCAAAAATAAGCACAATAAGTAAGAAGCAGGCGACAGAAAAGCTAAATGAGACTTGTTCAAAATTGAAAGAAGTTCACCTTGGGCGCCTGCAAAGCCGGCGACTCTTTAGTTGACCGCTTGCCCAAGATGGCCGAGCAGTACTGGGAGAGCCATAGCTTTGTCGGAAAAAGATGAATCAAGGAGTTAGTTTGACACAAAATTAATTAAGTTTTACAAGACACTTGAACAGGCGGTCAACTATCTCTTAGCATCTCTTCACTAAGGCCACAGGCGGCCAAATATGTCCCATCATATAGCCATTTATACTTGGGAATATTATTTTGAGGAATGAACTCCTTTGCCCCAATCTCTGGTTCGCCTGGATATCTACTTTAAAGAGCCCTCTGTCAAGGATCTCTTCTTTTGCTTTACGAGGAACAGGCAGCAGCTCAAAACCGCCTGTTAGGAAGTTCCTGTTCCTGTCCACCCCTCCCATCATAAATGATTGGGGTATTTATAGGGGTGGGAAAGTGTCCCCCTAGGGTTTAGTGACCTAGGACGGCGTGCTTTGATTGGTGGCGTGTTGGGTTTTGCGGTGTCCGACACCGCGCGGAAGATAATGATTGCAACATAAATAAAATCCAATAACTGGATTGCATGCATAATGATTACAACATAAATAAAAGCATGCAAATTATCATAAATATAAGAGAAAGAAGATAAGAGAGAGAAATAATGCTCACCCTAGTAGCGTGCTTCGCTGAACCGTTGGACTTGAAAGCTTCAGGTTTCACAAGTGCGAGAACCTCCAACGACTCACACCCTTGCTACCAAACCGTAACTAGTCCCTACCCCGAAGCTTAG